GATTTAAATTGCACTATAAAATGGTATATTGTCAACCCCATCTCAGTGTGAAAAAGATTACTCAGAGGTGAAATTTAGTTCAGTCACTGAGAGGCTCAGAGGGGCTGATTCCAAAGTCTCAGGAAAACAGTGAGCTGAGACCTCTGTGGTTATTTATTTGTAACTCAAGCCGGGGATTTAGCTCAGTGGTTTTGCCGCCTGCTGCACAAGCGCAAGGACCTGAGTTTGATCCCTGGTACCAAGAAAAATAAAATAAAAGTGACAATATTTGTAACTCAAGGACATGAGAACAAAGATACAGAAGGGAAGCATTTGCGACATACTGTATTGTCTAAGAGTTTTGTCAGTGACAGAATGGCCAGAATGGGATGGTTTGTTGTGTGACACATCTCAGCTTAGTTTAGGCAGTCTTATTGGGGCAGAGGGGACAAAATGGCCAAAGCAAACATCTCTGAGAACAAACTGCTTTTAATTCTGCTAACTCTTGTCCTGTATATTCTGCTCTGTACTCTAACCATACATTCTGGGAGCATGGGAACTGTTCCAGCGCCTCTTCCTTATCACACTAAGGAAGTCACTCCTTTGGCCAAAAGTCTCCCCACACAACCCTTAGTTAAGTCTTAAATAAGCAGGTTTAGCTAGATGTGGTTGCATATGCCTGTAAACCCAGCACCAGGGAGGCTGAAGCAAGAGGATCACCATGAGTTCAAGGCTAGCCTGAACTACAAAGCGAGACCCTGTCTCAAAAAGGGGGGGTGGGTGGCAAAAAAGGCAAATACAGCATCTACTTTTTAGAGTTATTAACTCAGGAATTCATTTCAATTATGAAATCTTACAGAGAAGTGTTCGTTTTTGTTTTGTACCAGAGATCAAACTCAGGACCTTGTGCTTGCAAGGCAGGTGCGGTGCTACTGAGCTAAATCCCCAGCCCGAGAAGTTATTTTTATTTCTCAAAATCCAGGTGATGACATACCAGTGTTAGTTACTTTTCTCTTATTGCTGAGGCAAAGTACCTGACACCCAGAGTTAAAGGGGATAAGTTTATGGTCCAGGGATTTAGCTCAGTGGTTTCACCGCCTGCCTCGCAAGCGCAAGGTCCTGAGTTTGATCTCTGGTACCAAAAAAGTAGGGGGATGAGTTTAATTTGGCTTACAGTTCATAATGGTTTCAGTCCATAATCAGCCTGCTCCAAGGCAGGGACTGCAGAGGAGAAAACACTGGCGTGCATAAGGTAGCAACAAGGGAGCTTCAGTTCATGGCACCGGAAGATGGCAAAAGCAACAAGAGAGAGCTTCGTCATATCATTCTGTCTCTTATCCCATCCAGACTACCGGGAGTAGGGTGGTGCTAAAGCACTCCTGTGTAGTAGTTTAGTAATCACACTCCCTGAATCCCAGATTCAGCTCCCTCTGACCGAATGAGGCTTTCGGGGGGCCATCCAGACCCAAACCCTAACAATACCTTATCCCAGGTCTAGCATTCTTTTCATCATCGCTGCCTTGTAAATCATCCTCTGCTGCATCTACTTCTGGTCAGTATACATGCTCATCACCACCTAGGGTGTTCATCTCAGAGAAATGATCAAAATATATGTGTTCATTGGATTCAGTCCTACTCTTCCAGTTAGTGAAGTCTCACTAAGCTAATTAAGCTTTGCTCTTTTGTTAACCTAGGCCAATGATGACAAACTTTTTAGAGCTTTCAGGGGTTACAAACAGCTGGCCGTGACACACATGCCATAGGTTCACTACCACTGACAGGCTGTGGCTGGCCAGATCCTCCCTTTTGTCAACAACATAAAATTGATCTGTCTGTTCTTTTATGCTTAGAATCATTTAGATCAATACAGTGAAAAAGATTAATTTCATTTAAATGTCTAAAATTACCACTTCTTCCAAGACAATTTAAAGTAAATTTGGATTTTTCAAAATTTATGTTAACATCTTTACTGTCTTCAACACAAAATTCAATAAAGACAGTGAAGAGGTGGGGATTTAGCTCAGTGGCACCGAGCCTGCCTTGCAAGTGCAAGGTCCTGAGTTGGATCCCAGTACCAGAAAAAAAAAGACAGTGCCTTTGGCCGTGTCACTTTGCAGTCACAGGCTGGCTGGTAGTGCCAGGCCTCTGGTGGTGGCTGTTAGGGACGCAACTCGTGTGTGTGTGTGTGTGTGTGTGGGGCTTCAACCTGTACCCCAAGGGTGCACAGAGAGAGCAGGCTCTGCTCTAGAAGTGGAAGGGTAGGAAAGGGGCACAAGGACTGGGAATCCATCCTCAGTGGGAAGGCCCGCTGACCTTGGTCTAAGCAGCTGGCCTGTGGTTGGATTCCTAGGTGTGGCAGGTGCAGAGTTGGTTGGAATGAGCTGGGCGGCTTGGCTGCTGTGAATGCAGGGCTTCGACCAATCCTCCCCACTGTCTAGGACTCTACTGAGCTCCTCTTGCCCAGGGAAGATACTGTGGCAGCTCTCACAGACATCCTCTCTGGTGTTTTCAGATGTGGTTTCCTTTGACTACCCAGCCAAACCTCGATTGCCTGCCTACTTGCCTTTAGAGGATTCCATATAGTCAGTGCTTCATTTTGTTTTACGTAGTGTTATGATATATTACTTTTATTTAAAATGTATTTTCTCTTACATTCCTTCTGGCTAATTTTTTTTATAGTTTCTATTTCTCTGAGATTTCATATTCATTGGGTGTATATTTTCCTTTAGCATAGTTAGAGTACCTGCTTTAAAACCATTTCTATTTCTGCTGGGCATGGTGGTGCATACTTGTAATCCCAGCATTCAGGAGGCTGAAGCAGGAGGAACTCCGCAAGTTTGAGGCCAGCCTGGGTTGTACAGTGACTTCAAATCCAGTCTGAACTGCAAAATACCCTGTCTCAAAAGCAACAACAACAAAAAAACCCTTTTCTATTTCCAGCAACTTGATTCTGGGAGTAAGTCTGTATTGTTATTCTTCTTAAATATGGTAACATAGTTCTCTTTCTTCATATGTTTAATAATTTTGTATTTATCTTGGAATTTGAGAATGATAAACATGGTTGAAACTGAATTTTGCAATGTTTCTCTGAAGAGTGTTGACTTTTTTTGTTTGTTGTTTTAGCAGGCTGCAAACTCTGTGTCTTTGAGTTGGGCAGCTGCTGAAACTTTTTTTTTTAACCTTAGCTGGGCTTCTTGGAGTTGTCATGCACCTTTGTAGTTCATGAGTCATTCAGAGACTATATTTGGATAGACTAGGTTTTTTTAGTGTTTTGAGATGCACTGCGCCTGACAGATTTGGATAGGCTTTAGATACAGAATTTGGGACTCTCCTCTGGATTTTTTTTCCCCCAGGATTTCCTTCCTCTCCAGTTCTGTGGTCTCCACTTCTGGGGTCATGGTATGGGCGGTGTGATCTGCTGGTCTCTAGTTAGTAAAGTAAGGCTTCAAGAAGATGAAAAGGACCCAGACAGAAAGAAGGAAGCCCTGTTTAGTAAGGATACTAGAGAAGGGATGTCTCTGGTGAATAGAAAAGTATATGCTTGTAGTAAATAAGATGAGGGCAATATTCATTAATATTTAAATATTAGAAAGCAGTACATGTCCCTGGCTACTGCTAAGATGTTTCATGGCTTGAACCTTTGATCCTGTCTCATCACAAGTCCTGGCATTCTTAGACTTGACAGTTGTAGCTCTGAGGTAACCAAATTATTTAAAATTTTATGACTCACTGTACACATATAAGCGCACACATATGCATATACACAGTCATGTGTACATGAACTCATACACACACATATACACTGAGAAATGAACTTATTTAGTACCCCAAAGAACATATGGCCAATACCTGCGTGAAAAGATGCTTCTTTTGACTAATTATCAAGGAAGTACAAAAGTAAAACAACATTGAAATATGTCTATTGCAGTGGCAAAGATTAAAGACTGATATTTGTTCGTGGTAAAGATTATAGGCATTTTCACATAGAAATTGGTGTAACATTGTAGGCCACTTGGCAGTATCTACCAATATTGTAAAATTGAGACCCCACAGTTCTACTGCTAGCAATTTTTCGTGTAGAAGTACTGATTCTGTTGATTAAAGATCCATGCCCAGAACTGCTCATTGCCTTTATCGGATACAGGCAATAATCCAAATGTCCATTGCCAGGATGTTTTGTTTTGTTTTTTGACATGGGGTTCTGCTGAATAGTTCAGGCTGGCCTTGAACTCACTATGTAGCTCAGGCTGGCCTTGAGCTCATGGCGGTTCTCGTGCCTCAGCCTCCTGAGTGTTGGGATTATAGACATGCACCACCATGCCTGACCATTGCAGGGATTATTAAACCATGGGAGGTGCTGTTGTCAAAGGCACAGGTTTGTACCAACTAGAAAGGTGATGGAAATACCCAGAGGTACAGGCGATCCCAAAGCTGATAGCATAGTATGATTCTCTTAAAATGTGCACATGGGCCGGGGATGTAGCTCAGTGGCGCTGTGCCTGCCTTGCAAGCAGCGAGCCCACGCTGACCTAAAACTCGTAGTGATCCTCCTGCCTCAGCCTTCCTGGGATCGCAGGTGTGCACCCCCATGCCCAGCTGAGAGCTCCCATTTCAAACTTTCCCTTCTGTATTGTTTTTCTTTAACTGAGTTTGCATTATGTTTATGTTTAACACCTGCCCTGGCCTGCCATGAGGACCTGCCATGAGGACCTGCCCCAGGTCTCCTCCTGGGGCTAGTTCAGTGCATCTCAGTGGGGTTTCTTGGGAGGAATGCAGTGAACACTCATCTGCCAGTGAGGAAACAAATCACAAATCATGGGAGGCAACTGTGTCATTCGAATCCTTCGCACCTCACAATTCCCGGGCTGGTGGTCTGTGGTGCCAGGCACCTCAGCTCTGCCGGAGATAGCAGCTCTGCGATATGCTCGTGGTTTCAGATGTGGGCGGCCTGTGTGAGCCTGCCGTGTGGCTCATGTCACTGCCTTGCTGCAGTTATCTTCTGGATCAGGTGAGGGGCTTGGGTGCACTCCACGGGACAGTCTGCAGCAAGTCACCTCCAGGCTGGGGGCACCTGAGACTTTGGATGGCACTAGGCAGATCCATCTGGGAAGGTAAGTCTGAGGCTCCCCAAATTTTCGAGTCAGTGCAGACTTCAGGAGGCAGAGAGGGATGAGTGATTCCCCTCCCTGGGCCAGAGAAAGTGTGTGGGGGCCCAGCACCTTAGTTTCACCTTTGGTGTCCTGGCTTTGGGCTTTTCTCAGAGCTGGCCGAACTAGCAGTTTGGGCTGTTAGAATTACAGACTAATTTCCGGGCCTGATGTGGTCAGTGTGTCCATACTGCAACTGAACAGAAAGAAGGGCAGTTTGTCAGGAAGCACTTCTAACTATGGAAGAAACTGCTTCCTCAATGACTGTGTGGGGACGAGGGCAGATGGGCATATTGGGGCAGATTGGCTCAGCTCTGATAGCCATGAGGCAGAGCAGAGGCCCCAGAGTTGGCAAATCCCCTCCCAGCCCCCAGAGCTTTGGGGGCCTCAGGGAAGAGGAGCTGGACGGAAGTGGGCATGGTTGGGATTCCAGGAGGTCATTGAAGCCAAGCAGGGGAAAGAGGAGAAAGTTCTTTTGGAGGAAGTAACCCCTCTGCATTCCCCGAGGCTCTAGGCTAGTCATTCTCACAGGGGCTTGATAGGAGCCCTGCTAGGACTCTTCCCCTCCTTGCCCTCCTTGTTCTTCCTGTGATACTTGCTGTTCTGGGCTCACTGTCTTCTCAGAGCTTGGCCTTATGAGGTCTAGAGTGGAAATCTTGCCAGTATGACCTCAGGTTATGTCCCAGAGCCCCGAACTTAGTGTCAAGGGTGGTCACTGAGTGAGGCAGGAGGGCATTTGGTAAGGAGTTGGGGTGGGTGCAGGAAATGCAAGTTCTCACCACCGAGGAGCCAGACTGGACCCAGCGTAGCAGTGACCTAGCACAGGATCTGATGAAGGGGAGTGCTGGTTAGGTGGTGCCTCCTTACCAAGGCAGCAGGAGCAGAAGGGTGTCCTTTCCCCCAGACCCTGCAGAGAAGTGACACCTCTACTCCAGCCCTGGCTGTAGCCACTCCCCTCTGTCCTATCCGCTAAGGTGCTGTGCAAACAAAACTGGCTTTGCCTGACTCTTGCTGTCCCAGATCCAGGGAGATCGACTGGGGGTTGGGGAGAGCTTTAGGGAAGGGACTGGATGGGAAGGACACCAGGCAGAAGGGACAGAGCGCAAGATGGCTAGAAGGCCACTTGTGCTCAGGCCTGTGGAGGAGGCTCCCTGGGTCTCTCCCCACCGTACTTTTCTGAGTTTCTTGACTTCCATCCTTGCCCTCTCCCCTGTGGCCTGGATTTGTGCCCTTGTCTATCCAACATCTCTGGGCCCAGCCCACAGACATCACATGTTTTGTTTTGTTTTTTGTTGCCTACCAAAGTTTAAGTTTCTTAATTTCAGATTCAAAGTGTTTTTTTGTTTGGGGGGGGGTTATTTGTTTTGTTTTGTTTTGTTTTGTTTTTTAGTACTGGGGATCAAACTTGGGTCCTTGGCTTGCAAGGCAGGCAGCGCAACCACTGAGCTAAATCCCCAGCCCTTTGTGTTTTGTTTCGTTTTGGTACTGGAGATATAACTCAGGACCTTGCACTTGAGAGGCAGGTGCAGTGCCACTGAGCTAAATCCCCTGCCCTTGTTTTGGTTTTTGACACAAATTCTCACTGGATAGTTCAGGCTGGCCTTGAATTTACTGTGTAGCTCAAGCTGACCTTGAACTCATGGCAATCCTCCTGCCTCAGTCTCCTGAGGGTTGGGATTACATACTTGCACCACCACGCCTGACGATTGCAGGGATTATTAAACCATGGGAGGTGCTGTATGTGCCGACTAGAAAGGTGATGGAAATACCCAGAGGTACAGGAGAGCGAAATCCTGACAGCAATAGCTATCAAGCTGATCTGCAGGGCTGGGGATTTAGCTCAGTGGCGCCATGCCTGCCTCGAAAGTGCAAGGTCCTGAGTTCGATCTATGGTACAGAAAACAAAACAAAACAAAACAAGCTGGTCTGCGCCCTAGATGTCCCTCCACCCCCCTGAAAGTGTGTGGGAAGGGGATTGATCCTAGGTGCTCCCCACCCCCATCCTCTCTGTCCTCACCTGGCTAGCCTGCCGGCTCCATACCTTCTGTCCCGCCCCTTCTCCACCCCCATCAGCGTGCACCCTGTGCCCAACAGAACTAGAGGTTCCCAGGCTGTTGGGAGAAGGCCTCCATGCCTTATGTGGTCCAAAGAGGGTCAGGTTCCTCCTGCTCCCATTTCTTCCCATTTCCCGGCACAGACTTCCTGTGCCCCAGCTCTGGCTGCTTCTGGGGAATCAGGGTCTGAATTCTACCACCTCCAGCAGAGAAAAGACAGTGCTGGGGAAGAGTTCATTTAAATAGTAACCTCTGCCTCTATGTCATCCAGCTTCATGATTTGGTAGAAGAACAGGGGTCTTACCTCCTCCCATTAAGATATAGAGCAGGGCTGGGGTGCAGCTGAGTGGAGAGTATTTGCCTGACATGCATGCGGTCGTGAGTTCATCACCACACACACAGAATATACTAGGTTACATCTGACAGTATGACAGGAACTGGCTCTAAGTGTGCTGCAAGGTACCAAGGAGCTCAGAGTCACCTGGCTGGCTCCCATCATGACCTGCTGTGGCCTGGGTTAAGTACTGGGACCTGAGAGCCAGGAAGGGTGAGGGGTAGGATCTATATAGAGACTCTTCTCTGGGTCTGGCCCAGCCTGTGGCCAAAGGCAGGGATCCAGCCACAGTTCATCCTACAGCTTGATAGTGTTCCAGAAAATGGGCAGGCAGACAATCAGAGCCAGATCAGGACCCTGAGGCCATAGGGGCTGAGGGCTGTGTCCCCTTTCCTCCTGATGAGGAAGGCCATACTAGTTAGTAGTGTCAGGCAGGGATAACAGAACTGGGGTATCATGGAGCAGCCCTGCCAACAATGGCAGACACTGGCTTCCCCTCCTGCTCTCATGCTATCCTGTGGCTTGGCATCCAGTCTGTGGTCAGGCCTCCCTGGGCTCATCCTACACCTCTCTCAGGACCAGGGAGTGTGCAGATGTGCTGTATGCACCTGCTCTGATTCCCTGGCCCTTGGTCAAGGAGGGGTGGGCCTGGGCTTAGTAATGTCCTGTCCTGGCTCAAGAAGCCCTAAGGAGAGAGAGGTCCATGGTGGCCTGGGGAATATACATGGCATACATTCTGCCTGAGGCTTCACCCCACTTGTGAAGCACTTGTAATGTCTTCTGTGGGGCATGCACTGATGGGAGTCACATACTGCTCTCAAGAAGCTCACAGACTCTGTGGGAGCTGCTAGGACACCTGCCAAGAACAGAGGTTCTAAGTGCAATATATTGGGCAAGTCCTTGATCTCACTGAGCCTCACTTTCTTCACCAATAGCAGAGTGGTCACCTTGCCTTACCCAGCTTACCAGATGTAGATGAAAGTATTCTGTGCAAAGAAAAAGCCGGGACCTTTCCCTCAGGATGGCCACGTTGCTGCGGGTTGTGCTCCTCAGGGTGTCTGCTGCCCCACTGCCCCCTGCACCTGTCTAGAAAAGGAGCCTGCAAATCTAGGAGCCACCATACTCCCTGCTCTCAACCATCCGCCTCTGGGTTAGGCTGTGGCTGGGCTGGGCTAATTCTGCACCTCTGCGGATCATGTAGGTGCCTCTCTAGCTGGGGCAGGATTGTGCATTGTGCAAGGTGAGGGTCACCTTGGAGCTGCACTTCCTCTGGGTCCTGGTCTGACTGCTGTTACACACCCCGAATGGGCTGACGGCTCATGCACACCTTGCCAATAACTCCTACAAGAGGAGACAGACAGTGCTATAGAGAACTGTTCTTTCATGCTGCTGCTGCTGGTGGTGTGGGGCTATAAACTTCTTGCAGGGAAGGATGTGGATGCACAGATGGGCTTCTGGGGTTGGTGGGTGGGTGTAGAGCCTGTGGAGGGTGTGTCGCTCCTGGAGGGTGAGCACGTCGTGGTCTGTGTGCATGTCTGCTTCCTTTTCTCATCTTTATCACTAATCAGTCTTGTATAACCAGGCCAGTGCGGCTTCCTGCTTAGGGGCTATCTGTGAGCCATCTGTAGCTACAAATGGGGTGACAGGGCGTCAGCAGCTTCTCCACAGGCAGGCACTTCCTGATACCTACTGGTCTGCAGCAAACCACTAGCTCCCCAGGGAGCTAGGTATCCCAGGGCTCAGGGCCTTGCCATTCTCAGTGCACCTGGGCCAGGTAGTTTAGGCAGTGTCATCTGTTGCCATCCTCATCCATGTTCTGGGGCAGAACCCTGGGATGGGTCTTTAGGGCAGAGAAAGAGAGTGTGGATACCTAGAGGTTGGCTGTATGACCTTGGGCAAGATGCCTCCCCTTCTTGGAGACTCTATTTCCTTCTTATAAACAGGGCTACTCTTTGCATGGCTATTGTCAGAACTAAAGTAGCATGGGAGGCACCACTGAGGAGCTCTGTGAATCTGCCTGTGGCTGTTAGTAGTAACTGGTTCTCCCAACCCTAACTGTCCTGTGGTTGACCCTGGACCCTGGGGGCAGGGGGATGAGCTGGCAGAGGTTGTAGGTCTCAGAAAGGGGCCTTCTAGGCAGACATAGAGGCATAGTCTCAGAGTCCAGGACCTGGCAGATCTGAGTCTGAGCCAGGAGTCTGGTCAGGTCAAGTGACCCTTCTGAGTTTCAGCTTATGATCAGTGAAGCTTGGACAGAGGTGCTCAGCCTCTTTCACAGGACACGGCCAGGGCATATGTGGTTGCCCCACTCAGAGCCTTTGCTGAGGAGGGTCTCATGGGGAACAGCTTCCCAGAATGGTGCCTAGCACAGGCCCCTCAATCCAGTCCCTTGCAGGTTGGACCTTGGAGAGTGAGGCCCTGATTCAAGATGTGGGCACCTGGCTCCTGCTCTGTACCTGTGTCTGCTGGGGAGTCTCTGTCCCAGAGGAGGGAGGAGGTGAGGGCTGGGCACTGGCATCTGGATGAGGTGGCTGGGTGGAGAGCTAGGGGCTGGGGTTGGGGATAGCTGGGTCCTGTCCTCTAAGGGTCCTACCCACCTTTGATTCCCACTCTGACCCTCTATGACGGTGATGGTGAACCTTTGAGAGCTTTCCGTGATAGAAACAGCCCACTGTGTCACACGTGCCATAGTGTGCCTCCATTGCTCTAGGGCCTGACTTGTCCATGCATCAAGAGTGGGAACCCACCACTTCCCAGGTCTCCCAGCCCTGCCCTTGACAATTCTCCTGGGATTCTCTGGAGACTGCTTTGTTAGGGTTATGCTGCAGGTCCTCCCCTATCCCTGAATTGGCTCTGCCCTGAAGCATCCACTGTGGTCCTCAATGGTTGTCATCCCCAGAGACAAGGGCTGAAACTTTCACCTGCCTCACCAACTACATCCTCAGGATTGATTGCCATTGGTCTGCCCCAGAGTTGGGCCAGGGCTGTGGCCCCTGGCTCCTCTTCACCAGGTGAGGTGGAGGGTCAGGCCTACCTGGGGAGAGGACAGGGATGGGGCATATGGTCTCTATGGGGTGCTGATACCTGGCCTTTCCAGCAACCAGGCACCTGGCAGCAAGCACAAGTGCATCTTCCAGGGTAGTTCATGCACTGTGGTGCTGCCGCCCGAGGAGGTGCTCCTGCCTTCTGACAACTTCACCATCATTTTCCACTACTGTGTCTCTGGGAAGGAGCAGGTTAGCCTGGTGGACTCGGAGTACCTGCCCCGGAGACATGGTGAGCAAGAGGCCTTGCCAGGAGCAGCCTTGCTGCTTGGAGGTTGAGGATAGGAACAGCCTGTAACCCATGTGGTCCCAAGAGTCCTCACCAAGCAAACCCAGGAGTGGGAGGAGACTGGATCCCTTGGAGGGGAGGGCTCATGTGGCTACAGCAGGATCTGGTATTGGCAGAGAATGAAGGTGTATGACTAGTTGGTTTAGGGCTATGGTTTGGTTCCAGTCCCTGGAAAAGCTCTTCAGTCATAGCAGGAAGAACTCTAGCAAGACATTGGAAAGAACTTCCAGCAGTAGACTGAAGGAAAGGGAAGCCAAGATTTGGAAACCACCTTGCAGCATGGGTTAGAAGTCTTTGCTGTCCTGTTCTCCTAGTTTTTCAGTGAGGCCCTGGTCTGAGGAGGCCTTGACCAGTGCCCTGTGGGAAACTTTTAGATCCTGGGCACTGGGCCAGAGCATGGGGCCGCAGCCTCACACAGCCTCACTGTGTTTCAGTTAAGCTGGATCCTCCCTCTGACTTGCAGAGCAACACCAGCTCTGGCTCCTGTGTCCTGACCTGGAGCATCAGTCCTGCCCTGGAGCCGATGGCCGCACTTCTCAGCTATGAGCTGGCCTTCAAGAAGCAGGAAGAGGCCTGGGAGGTGACACTTTAGTTGGCTTCCCTGAGGAGCTCTCTCTCCTTCCTGGGAGTGGCTAGAGTGAATGCTGAGGAGGGGAGGGGGCCAGAGCCAAGTACCTGTGCTTTCATTACTTGCACACATGTTTGTGTGTACTTATGAGTGTACATGAGAGTTTTGTGTCTTTGGTTTAAGTGCGTGTGTGCTGAATATGTCCACATGGGACTTGAGTGAATGGCGAGTGTGTCCCTGCGCACACATCAGTGTACATGAGTGTGCACGAAGTATGAAAATGTGCCTGTAGATGTGTGTGTATGCTTGTCCATATGAACATGAGTGCATCTGAGTGTGTGTGCATGAGGGGGCCTGTTTGTGCATGTGTGTATAGTCTCAAGGGCTGATGGACCCAGCTACATTCAACACCTGCTAATGGCCCTCAACCCCACAGCGGGCCCAGCACAAGGACCACATAGTTGGGGTGACCTTGCTTACCCTTGAAGCCGTTGAGTTGGACCCTGGCTCCACTTATGAGGCCAGGCTGCGTGTCCAGATGGCCATGCAGGAAGAGGACATGGCAGAGGAGGAGTGTCATGAGGGCCAGTGGAGCAAGTGGAGCCAGCCTGTGTGCTTCTTCTCTCCCCAACCACATGGTGAGTTGTGCAGTGGCTGTTCTTCCACAGTCTGGGCTAGGCCTTCTCTCCTCTGTCCCTCCCACGCCTCCTGCCTTTGGCCCTCCTGGAACCCCCCTCCCCTGGAGTCTAAGATGTGTAAGGGGGAAACACGCATTGGGGCCCCAGGAACCTGTGTTTAGTGGCTGCTGTTAGGAGTGAATGTGGCCTGGGAGTGGCCTCCAGGCTGGTGTTTCTGTCTGGAGCTGGAAGGACCTTATTCTCCTTAGGGAGGTCTGGGCTGGCTCTTGTGCACAGTGGTGCTGGGAAGGTTCACAGACTGGAGCATGGCAGTATGGTATGGCAGATGGGAGAGACCCAGAGTGAGATTCACCCCTGGTGACTTCAGCAGGGATAATGCAAGTCTTCAAGTTTCATCCTAAATCCTTTCTACTTTAGGGCATTAACGGGTGGGCTAGGGGATACAACCTGACATGGATACTGCTCATAGCCCTGCCCACAGGCCTCTTGATTTCATCTGAGAAGTGGCCAGAGACCGCCCTTGTTGCTGTGACCATCTTTCTTCTGCTGACTGGCCTGACCTACCTCCTGTTCAAGCTGTCATCCAGGTAGGTGCCCAATGCATACACGAATGTATACACATGAATGTATTAGTGTTCATATGTGTGTGTGAGGTGTGTTAGTATGTGTATCTGTTCCTGTATGTGTGTGAGTACATGAATATGTGACATATGTGTGCATCTGTTAGTGTGCATGTGAGGTATGAGTGTGTTAGTGTGCACCTGTTAGTACATATGAGCATGTGCATGTGTACTGGTGTTAGTGTGTGCATGAGTGTTAGTATGTCCATCTGTCAGTATACGTGTGCATGTGAGGTGTGTGTGTTAATGTGCATTTGTTAGTGCATGTGAATATGTGCATGTGACTGAATGTATGTGTAAGGTGCATGCATGAGTGTACTAGTGTGCATCTGTTAGTGTGTGTATCTGTTGGTACATGTGAGTGCCTCCATGGGTATGAATGCACACATGTGTTAATATGCATGTGTATCAGTGTGTGAATGTGTAAATGTAGCAGCACATGCATGTATATGTTTGCGTTGTCCAGGGCATAGCAGACCAGCCTTCCTAGCTGTAGGGAACAGGGAAAGGGGATGTTACCAGAACCTCTGCAGTAAGTCCTAGTCTCCTGTGAGCCACGGCAGCACAAGGCGAATTACAGGAAAGGTAGAAAACTGAGACTTTGAGAAGAAGCTGAGCTTTGGGTCTGATCAGTGCTGCTCTGGGTGGCAAAGAGGAAAGCCCTGGGAGTTCAGTACATCTGGGTAAACAAGATGTAACAATCCAAGAACAATGAGGAACTGAGTAGATGAAGATTTTGTTCCTCCCAGGATGTCTTCAGCTGGTGTAATCTTGTCCTGGAGAATCACAGCAACACTGGATCACTGAGGTCTCAGTTGCGACCAGAGGCCAAAATGGAATTAGGTCTCGGAATTCCATAGCTGGACTGTAGGCAGGAGAACTAGGCTAACCAAATGATTTGTCCCTAAAATTATGTAGCATTGCTCCCGACACCTAGCTCCCTTCTTTCCCTCTCTCCTGTCTGGTTCTGAATAGATGAGTGTCTTCAAGTCTCAGCACTGGGCTAGTGGGAGAGGTTTCCCAAGTAGCCAGAAGAGAGAAGAGAAGGGTGTTCTGGGACAAAGACTGAAGATGAGGACAGCTCGGTCCCTACCAGCTGTGAAGGGACACGGAGTCACTGGGAACCAGGAGCCCAAAGTCCTTGTCTCTTGCCTTTGGGGGTTGCTGGTTTGCTCATCTGTTTACACATTGTATGAAAGTGTCATTTTGCCATCCAGGGTGCATAGGAACCTGTTCTCAGCCCACGGGTTGCCTCAGAGAACAGAAGGGACAAGGGTTCTCCTGAGATAAGCCCCTATGCCTCATGTGTCACTTGTCAGGTTTCCAGGAGGACATGGGACCATGTCTGGGAGTGGGTCCTGTAAGAGACTGTTCAGCTGTGGCCAAGTCTTGGAGAAGATGAGAGGCGAATGGATTGCGAGGGCCAGAGGGTGTGGGCAAGGGTGTAGTGCAGGGCCGAGCAGCAGGGTTTCCTTGGAGCCATGGAAAGCATGGGAAGGGTGTTCAATGTGTGCCACAACAGGTTTTTTTGAGAGTGAACCATTGGGATACAAGGGGCCTGTGGTGTCCATGGAGAGGCAATTTGACTCGACCTAGTGAGAAAAGAGGAGATGGAGCAAAGTGAAGGGACGGCCAGGGTCTTAAGAAACTGAGGTCTGAGGAATAATCCCTGAGGTGTGAACTTGGGAGGCCAGGCCTGGGGAGGCTGAGGAGGTTGATTTGGCTGTGTTGGGTTGGAGACCTCTGCTGGTCTCCTCATGGACAGGAGGTCTGTTCAGGGAGATGTTGGACAGGGCAGGGAGCCACAGGCTGTCCGCTGATAGCACAGGTGTGGTTCCTGAAGCAGCTCCCTCTGAGGCGTAAGAACCTAGCTGCTGCCAGGCATGGTGGTGCATGCCTGTAATCCCAGTACTTGGGAGGCGGAGGCAGGAGGATTGTTGCAAACTCAAGGCCAGCCTGGGTTACCTAGTGAGATCAAGGACAACCTGAACTACATAGCAAGATCCTGTCTCAAAAAATAAACAGGGGCAGGGATTTAGCTCAGTGGTTCCACTGTGTGCCTTGAAAGAGCAAGGTCCCAAGTTCGATCCCTGGTACCAAAAAAATAAATAAAAGGGAGAGAGAGAGAGAGAGGGAGGGAGGGAGGGAGGAAGGAAGGAAGGACGGACCTGGGTGCTCACTTCTAGCTGTGAACCTGCTGTTGCAGCTTGCCACATAAAGGACATGTGCCTTGGTACACATCAGCTCTATGGGAATTAGCCATAATTCCCATAGCCTGCCAAATTGTGTCCTGCCCAGATGGCAGGATTGTCCAGTTTGTTTGTTGTGCTAATTGAGATGCGATCTCTCTGTGTTGCCCAGGCTTGTGTCAAACTCCTAGATTTAAGCAGTGTGTGGGGCACACACCTATAATCTCAGCACCCAGGCTGAGGCCAGATTTAAAGTTGGGCAACTTAGCAAGTTACAGAGACCCTGTTTCAAAATAAAAAATGAGGGCCCAGGCTTTAGCTCAGTGGTGCCACGCCTGCCTCCCAAGCACAAGGTCCTGAGTTCAATCCCCAGTACTGGAAAGAAAAAAAAAAGAAAAGAAAAAAGGGCTGGGGATGTAGCTCAATGTAAAGGTCCTGGATTCAATCCCTAATGATACACACACACACACACCAAAGAAACAAGCTCTTGAGCTCAAGCAGTTCTCTTGCCTCAGCCTCCTGAGCAGCTAGGACTGCAGAAGTGGGCTAGCAGGCCCAGCCCTCTGAGGGGAGGTTTGGATGCAGTGATGGGGAGAGAGGGGTAGCATCCTGGATGTGGTGGGCTGGCACCTGCTGGCTGGACAAAGGCTCAGGGCCCTACAGTGCTCTCAGGCCTTCTGGAGTGTGGCCTTGGGAGGCCCCTGCCTGGGTCCCTACAGACTATCCCTTCCTGGCCTCAGGATGAAGAGAACTTTCTACCAGAACGTGCCCTCGCCAGTGGCATTCTTCCAGCCCCTCTACACTGAGCACGGTGGGAACTTCCAGGTGTGTGAGGGCACTGCAGGGTGCGAGGGGCAGGTACAGAGGTCTGGTGTGCACAGGGCATGGCTTGGATGGGGGTTGGCATGAGCATGGGGCCTTTGTCAGTGTTCTGAATCTTCTTGGTATAGTGGGTTTAAATTTTCATACTGTGTCTCCAGTGGGCAAAAACCTAGTTGTATTTTCTATTGCTGACTTGTTTTTGCTCAGTTCTTGGTGGAAAAACTAAACTTCCTCATAGCCCATTAGTCTTCTCTGCTCTGCCACTGAAGGAAATGGTCAGTTCAAGGGGTAGACAGAGAGCTCTCTGTACCCACCACTGACATCACTTCTTCCCACCTACTCCTCCCCAGATGTTTCTGGGGAAGGGTCTCTGCTGCTTGTGCTGCTACTGGGCCCCCATCAGGGCCCTGGGGTCCCTTGGAGGCCACTGTGGACCACTTATGGGCACCATAGTTCATGAGTGGACCTTACATTTTACTCTTTGTGGGCCTATTTGGCTCCCATATGCCACGGGGAAGTACGAGCAACCTGGAGGGTCACTCTGACCATCTCTGTGGTTTCTTGGGGTTCATGCTTTGTGGTGGGGGGCGTACCCATGGGTGGTCACTGGTTTCTCCTCTCAATGCTAAGCTCCTCCAGTCAGGTGTCGCTGGGCCTCTCTGCTCTGTGGGAAGGGACATCTTCATCCTGTGTATCTTATGCGAAAACAAACAACCTTTTTCAAGGCTGTTGCTCCAAAATATAATTTCAAGTTTGAAACTGGGCACCTGGTACCATCTGTACCCTGGTTCAGGGTCCTGTGAGCATGAGGTTCTGGGAGGGAGTAGTGAGAGGCTGAAGCGACTCAGGGTCCCTCCCTGAAGCCAGGCTGGCACACAGAGGGAGTTCGGGATGTTCTGGGCACAGGCGCTCCTTGGCTACTGGGTGTGGGTGTCTGCAGAGCTTCCTGGAGAAGGAGGTTGCTCTTCTGAATGAGTGCTTCCCTCCTCGCTGTGCTCTATTCCAGACCTGGACAGAGGCCCACAGGGCTGGTCCACAACCAACCCAAGACTGCGATAGCATTCCACAAGGAGCCTCAGAATCCGGTGTGTGGGAGGCCATCGCACTGCTCACTTACGGCCCAGCATGGCCCTGGCAGCCCTCAGGCCTGGAGGGCAAAGAGAATCCTGGCTCTGGCCTCCCAAAATCCTGGAGCTTAGAGGATGTGCTGCCAGCAGGGTGTGTGGAATTGGAAGGACAGCCATCTCCCTATCTGCCACAGGAGGACTGGGCCCCCATGTCCTCCACCAGACCAGCTTCCCCAGACTCAGAGGGTGGCAGCGGTGACTACTGTGTCCTGGATTGCTATGGGGGTTGCCACCCCTCAGCCCTCCCAGGAAACACGCAGAGTCCCATGCCCCTCCCGGCCTTGGCCTGTGGCCTTTCCTGGGTCCAGCAGGGTTTGGATGCCCAGCAGAGAGGTGCCTGTGAGGGAGCTGCTCACAGTCAGGGTCATGGGCTGCCTGAGGACCTCTAGGGAGTTTTGCTGCCTCCTGTTCTGGGCATGCCATAGGCTCATCCTGGAAGTCTAGAACCCTGAGTCACCCAGATGCATCATGTCCATTTTGGGAAAAATGGGCTAAAATTCCTGGACTGACCCTTAGCTGGGACTGGACCCCTCGAGAAGGGGTGCTGTGCAGGGGTGAGAGGCACCCTGTCTGGATGGAGGCTCCTTACCCCCTCTGCTCACCCCAGCATCCAACAGTTATCCCTCCCTTCCCCACTCCCCTTCCCAGCTTCATCCCAGCCTGTTCTGCCCAGGGGACACAGGTGAGACACCATGCAGGTGGAGCATTCTCTTTCTATGCTTCTTGTGGCACCTTCCACACAGAGGTTAAAAAGGACATCTTGTCTGTTCCAGATTGGATGGCTGGGGTAGGGATTGTAGATGAGAGGGATTTCTGGGCTCCAAGAACAGCAGGGAGAAAGCTCAGTGATCCCAAGGGAATGACCCTGGACTCAGTGATGGTCCATGGAGGCCAACCTCTTGCGCCTCCTTGTCTTCACCCTCCACTGGTTCTGGGAGCCTGAGGAGCCTGGTGGAGAAGTCAGGCTGAGAAGTCAGGGTGGGAAGGGGCCACTGGGCATGGCCACGGCCTGTGAAGAGCCTTGCTTCCACCCCACCCTGTTGTGGGGTGCACTGGGGAGACAGCTGTGGTCTGGGGAGTGGTACATAAAGCAGAATGTGCCTGTGTTGTTTTCCTAGGGCTGCTCTAGCAAAATACCACAAACTGGGTCTCTAAGAAACAGAAGTCTACAGATACTCTGCTGGGCTTGCTTTTGTAGGTTCTCTTTTTTCTTCTCTTCTCTTTTCTTCTTCTCCCCCTCCCCTCTCTCTTTCTTCCCTAACAGCTTTTAGTATTTTCTCCTTTTTTAGAATTTCTGGAATTTTTTTTTTTTTTTGGTACCGGGGATCGAACTCAGGACCTTGCACTTGCAAGGCAGGTGGTGGAACCACTGAGCTACATCCCCAGCTGGAACTTTATGATTTGTGGAGAGGTTCTTTTCTGGCCATGGGTATTTGAGGCTCCATATGCCTCTTATACTTGAATACTGAATTCTTTGCCTAGAACTGGAAATTTTTCTGCTATGATTTCAGTGAATAGATTTTGTATACCTTTTGAGTCATCTTCTAATTTTTCATTTATTCCTATAATTAGAGGGTTTTTTCTTTTCTTTCTTTTTTGTTATCTAGCAGTTGCTGAATCCAGCTTACATGGTATCTTGTCATTATTAGGGTATCACTGAGTTTATGATTTACTACATCCACCTTGCCTTCTATTTCTGACACTGTTTTCATATGGGTCAAATCTGTTACCCATACTTTCCATTGAATTTTTCATATTATCTATGTCTGCTTGCTATTTTCCAGACTTTCTAATTCTTTACCAAAATGGTCTCAGTTTATTGTTTGTTTCCTCCCCTCCTCCTTCTTTTTGAGATAGGGCCTCCCTATGCAGTTCAGGTTGACCTTGAACTCACTATGTAGCCAAGGCTGGCCTCGAACTTGCAGTGATCTTCCTCCATCAGCCTCTGGGTGCTGGGATTACAGGTGTGCACCACCACACCAGGCCTGTTTGTTTCTTTAAACTTATTGAACTTTTTTTTTTGAGACAGGGTCTCGCTTTGTAGTGCAGGCTATCTTTGAATCTTGAACTCACTATGTAGACCAGACTGGCCTTGAACTTGTGGCAATCCTCATGCCTCAGCCTCCCAAGTGCTGGGATTATAGGCATACACTGCCATGCCCAACTTGAAGATTTTATTTTTAAAATTCTTTATCTGTTTAATTAAATTCATTGTATCCTTGGGTTTAGTTATGTTTTGGTGTTTATACCACTTTTCAACCTGTCAACATAATATTATTAGTGTCCAGTATTTTTGTCCAGGCTTGATCCCCAGCATAACTCAGAGAGGAGTGCATGAAATACAGTAGTGTTGATGACACGAAAACCAGATAATGGCATACAGTAAAATGCAATTAAAAGCAATAACCATGACATCATAAACAATAGAAAAGAAATCAGCAATAACAAAGAGTAAAAAACAAACTGGTTATTGACAGACCCTAAGAACTAATAACAAAGGCTGGGTGTGATGGCATATGCCTGTAATCCCAGCATTTGGGAAGCTGAGACAGGAAGATCACTGTGAGTTCAAGGCCAGCCTGGGCTACACAGTGAGTTCAAGGCTAGCCTGAACTACATAACGAGACCCTGTCGAAAGAAAGAAAGAAAGAAAGAAAGAAAGAAAGAAAGAAAGAAAGAAAG